TTCTTTCTTCTCTCTCTCTCTCTCCTATTCCATCATCTATGTATATGTCTATCTATGCATCTATTACCCTATTATTTTTCTTTCTTTCTCTCGCTCTCTCCCTCCCTCCCTCTCCCATTCTCTCTCTCTCCTATTCTATCATCTATCTATATGTCTGTCTATGCATCTGTAATCCTATATTTCTTTCGTTCTTTCTCTCCCACCCTCCCTCCCACTCTCCCTCTCTCTTTCTCTCTCTCTTTCTCTATCCCTCCCTCAACTACGGGAGTCTCAGGGCTTTGAATTCTCTCCAACAGTGGCAAGATCCAGGCCCACTTCTGCCAGGATGTTGACAAGGAATGTGGACTTGACTTGCTTTTGCAATGACGCAATGTTTAGGGTGGGAGGGAAATACTTCAAATTCCCCGGTGTCAATTTTGCAAATGCCTGATTTTGCACGGTTTAAAACACACACACACACAAACACACAAACACACACACACCCCTGATCCCACTAGCATTGGTTTCCCCGATCTTCACAGGAGTTACAGAGGTGTAGAATAATAGACCTCCAAGGGACCTTGGAGGTCTTCTAGTCCAACTCCCGCTTAAGCAGGAGACTCTAGGCCAGTGATGGCTAACCTTTTCAGCATTGTGTGCCGAAAGCACACGGGCACCCATGCCCAAAATGTAACACGCGCCGACCACCACCACCTGTGCGCTCTGCCCTCCCATGCTCCGTTTTGGGCCTGGAAGACTTCCTGCACCAACCTGGAAGCCAAAACGGGGCACAGGGGCACTGTGTGAGGCCCCAAAATGCAATGCGAGCAGACACATACCTTGCACATGGGCCCCGCCTTCCACGCCAACGTGTGTCCCCCCCCCCGCATAGGCCCCACCCCCTGCATATATAATGGGGAAAAATAAATGGGGAACTCATCAAATTTGCAGATGACACCAAGATGGCAGGAATAGTCAACACTCCAGAAGACAAAGGCTTAAGGTACAGAAGGATCTTGGCAAACTTGAACATTGGGCACTATCTAATAAAAGGAAATTCAATGATGAAAAGAGCAAGGTTCTACATTTAGGCAAGAAAAACGAAATGCACAGGTACAGAGTATAGGTGGTACCTTGCTCAATAGCAGTAACTGTGAGAGGGATCTTGGNACCTTCCAGGACTACCATTTGTGCTTTGGCCTTACCCACTTTGTGAGCTTGTCTTCCTTCCTGAGTTAAGTGTGATCTTACCCACTACAAGGTTATCCATCTTTGCTAGGTCCATCATTTCCTTTTTATTCCATGTGACATAGAACTTTTGTAAGAACCGCCAATGCCTCTTTTGTAAGAGTATCACATGAAATAAAGGAAATCTTAAGGTTTTTCTATGTGTATTCTGAAGTGAAATATCAACAATCCACATCCGATAATAGTTCCTTAGCAATTCTGCTCATGTATACATATATTAGAATGGAACAGATGCTTTGCCTGAAACCAATAAAATATTATAAATTAACCCTTGACTTTTTCCGAATGAAACATTAAAAAAAGAATATATTGAGCTTAGCAGAGAATAGAACCACTATGTTCATAGAAAAGATAATGGTGAAGAAGTAACAGTAAATATTTACAAAATCTCCACAAATCTCCCCAAAAAGAACATGGTAAGAGGTTGTATAGAATACAGTAGTAATTTTATGTTTTTTAACAGGTTATGCATTTTGGAAAATACAGAGATGTAGCAGAATGTGGGGTAAGTCCAGCTACTGAAATTATGGTAACACATTTAAGTTACTATAATATTTATCTTTTTTCCCTATTTTATTTTTCACTGATTCTGTAGATACCTTTTTGGAGAACTTAAAAAACATGGCTTGTCAAAAAGGCATTTGGGGATGAATTTGTTTCCTTGCAAGCCCAAATGGGGGTACATTGAATTTTTTTTGTTATACTTGTGTTAAATGTGTTGATTTTAAAGCTTCTGAAAGTAATACTATAAGCAACTTGTACAATCAAGAAATGGAGATGAACACAGGTTTTTGAAATAAATAATCACACAGCATAAATATTAGTTTTTTAATAAAAGATAGAATAGAGTATAATGTACCTCTCATACCCTTCTCCTGTGCTTTTTTTAAAATAAAGATATAATTGAGCATTCATTTGCACTGATGTATCCTTATTTAGTGTATGGAATCAGTGACAAAAACTAGCCCTCCTTAAACATATCTCTGCAGAATCTGTGTCTCTATTTTGAATGTAGAAGGCAGTAATGCCAGTATCAGTGGGTTTTAGTCCCTCACACATTCTAATATTTTATAAGGGGAAGAAAAACTCACCCTTATCGAATACTTGGAGTAGATTTACACTAAGACAAACACAGAATGCTATATGAATGTGTATTTTTAGCATTGTCATTTTAACACTTGACATTACTTCAAAAACTTGAGATTGGAAAATACTGTAAGTCTAAGACAGAGGGAAGCATAGAGGTTGTAGCTAAAAAAATAGATTTTCCAGTGTATGATATTCCCGTGCAGGAGATCTTTATGCTAACATTACCCTTTTTGTGAGATATTCTGTTCCTCTACTTTCCAAACATACATTCTACTTCTGTTGCTAGGAGTGTTCTGGGATCTCTTTTCTTATAAGGCTTGTTTTGGGGTCACACCTGCTAGTTTATATGCGTATGTCACTTACATACAGATATTTGGTGCTACATTGATGACATTAAAACACTTAGAAAATGGATTGATCAATAGCATACATTAATATGTGTTGTGTAGACATGGATGTAATTTAATTTTGGCTCCATACATTTCATTAGCGCTTCTACTTGAGTACTATATTGCTGACAAGGAAATGTCATGCTTCAAATGATATAGTTAAAACTAGCACTGTGGTATTGTTAATATAAAAAACCAGAACCAGCATTTCTTTATTTTAGGTATGTCAAAAAAGTTGTTATTAGAACTTTTGATCCACAGAGATTAGAGTTCATCCCTTACAATTCCTTAGGATAAATATTACTTTCTAGCACACTAACTATAAATTTATTTTAAGATTACTTCCCTTTTAAAAAAATTAAAAGTATTTCATTTTTATAACAACTTTACAATATTTTTTTCTTTTTATAGTATGCTAGTGATGTGTAATATCTCTTCTTCTAGCCTCATCAAGAAATAGATTTAAATCCTAAACAAATTGTAACTGCAGATAGACAGACTTTTTACTGTGTTCCAGTGCCAGGAGAATCAGCGTGGGTGAAAGAAATATCCTTTGTAGCTTATTATATTGTAGACTGGTATATTAAATACTGAAATAGTAGTGGTAACACTGATAATGCAAGGTATTTAACATTTGATAGAAAAGTATTGATTGATTGCTTGATTCTATGCCATCAAGTTGTGTCAACTCTAAATGACCACTGAGATGGACTTCCTCTATCCAGTGATGCAACTATTGCTGTTGTAATTAAATCCACCCACCTTGCTTCTGATTAGACTCTTCTCTAGATTTACCAGCATAAGAAGTCTTAGGGCAGCTAAGTCTTTGCGTCATATATCCAAAATATAATTTGAGCATTAGTGTCCTCTCCATTGAAAATTCTAGATTGATTTGTTCTATTATCCATTCGTTTATTCCTTGGTTATCTTGATGATGATGTTCATCCATCATGTTCGAAGAGGACCTTGACATCTAACAGGGCTGTCCACAATGTAGATAACTTGGTTATATATGGTATACTTACTATATATAATTGCTGTATACCATATGGTATACAGCAACCAGAGTACTCTTTCTATCCTGTTTCTTCAAAGTCCAGTGTTTGCTTCCACAGAGTATTACAGGGAAAATCATTGCTTGCAGAACTCTGATCTTTGTAGATACAGATAGATCAGAGTTTGAACTTCAGAATTTATCTTTTGACTCCACCAACAAAAGCTAAAGATGCTGAACAAAACGTCTATTTGAAGAAGCATTAATAAAAATAACTTTTTAAAGAGCTGTTCTTAACTATAATAATAGAATCAAGATTTTCTGAATCCTTGGCAATTAATAAAGGAACTTCTATAAAAATATGAAATATTAGGACAGAAAGGCCTGGAGGAACTTTGTCCATGGGGTCGTGATGGGTCAGACACGACTTCACAATTAACAACAACAATGAAACATTATATGATGTACTTATGTTAAACTTACAAAACGCTATTATCTTTTTCTTCATCTTTGGAAACGATAGCATTGCCTTAATTTTAAAATAAATGCTTAATTAAATTTCCAGATAAGTTTATTCATGCCATCAGAATGATTCTGTCCTTAACTTAAAACATACGCTTATAATAGTGCAAGTCAAGCTCGAGTTTGTCCATCAACATCATACACACCAAGTCGCCATAAGAGAAGTTATGAGGATGATGAAGACATGGAGTTGCATCCATCGAAACAAAGAGAACAGCACATCGGTATCAGCTGAGATAATGTTGTCTTTCTCCTGAAAGTTACTTATTTTTCAGAATTACTATTATGGTGTATCCATTTGTATTGAAGTGATTTAATTGAAGTGAATTCTTGTTGACTTAGAATAGACTCAGAATAGATTTAGAATATGATTTTATATACCGTTATCTGGTTTTTGAAATAATTAGATGAGTTCAGGTATAGTTGCAAAGAGAGCAAATTTCTGAATGTACCACTGGTCTGATGTGTTATCCATGGGTCAGTTTGTATCTACAGATATATTATTTACAGACCAGTATTTGCAAATACTATATTCTTGAAAATCAAGAATGTTTCTGATTTATAGAAAGAGCAAGAGCAAACTCATGGAGAGATGATACATTTAATTGTTAACCATGAAAATAAATAGGACAATATATAACTGAATGCCAGTTGCGGCAGAAAAATAATGAAGGGGGTTATGAACTTCATGATTCTCTTTATTTGGCTCAGTTATTGAAAAAAATATGTGCTGAATTAAATCAGAGGTGGGCCATTTGCAGAGTCATCTATATTTTTGTACTTCTAACATAGTTTTTAAAACACCATATATAGGGAGTCCAGAAATAAGCACTCTTATTCCAGCCAACTAATACAGATGTTAAGGTCAGGGAGAAAAAAAGTGTACAAAACAAATAAAATAACAGTTTTCCCTTTGTTTTGTTTCTACACATTTCCATTTCTTTTCCTACCCTTCATAGTATTCTGAAGAGAGTACTCATTTCCTTGGTTTCATCTAGGACTTAGTACTCCTTTTGTAAATTAAAATACTTTTGGGGAATTGCTGTTCTGAAAAGAATCTAAGCTCCAGTGTTTGCAACATGCACTTGTGACTCAGCATGATGTAATTTTTTTTTTTTCAAAAAGCAGCAATAAATATTAATCTCAAACGATGAGTTTTAAGGTAGTGGAAACTGTTGTTGTTGATGTTTTAATT